GGAAGAGCAGAGTGGATCTCGAAATCCACTGAAATATACCCACAACAAAAGATTTGGTTGAATCAATGACATTTTTGTTGGTTCAGCCGTAGAACATGGTCATTAAATGGACAACCAAATATTTGGTTGATCGCATCAATATTATGTGTAGATCACGTCAAATGTTAAAGTAATTTGGTACGCTCAAAGCCATTTTAACCTCACTACATATTTTTAGAGAAAAATGTCCCTTTTATGAAAGTTTAGCGGAAAAAAAAAACTTTTTAGAATTCTTTTTTCTCATTGTGAAACAAATGAAAGCCAACGTTGCGGCCTCGACGGCCGCGAGCGCCGAGGTCACTCGAGCGTCCACCATTTTGTCAAATCTCGATTCTTCCGGAATTGTGGCACCATCTTCGACCCAAATAATAATTCCTCGAGTTAAAAACATCAATTCAAAGGGATACTTCTTAGGTTCAACGAATTCATCGTTTCTTCTCCGTGGATTAAATGAAATCCAACCTCGCGGCCTTGGGCGGGCGCGAGCTCCGAGGTCACTCGAGGGTCGGCCATTTTGTAAAATGGCGGATTCGCAGCTACGAGAAGAAAGACGCGTCTTTCGGATCAGAAACCAATACGTGCCGGTTGACAGGCACGAGCCCCTTATTTCGGGGAATCTACCAAGTGAGGCATCGAATTTCAAATGTATAGCCAGGCGTTAGGCGTGGCAGGATGGAAGCTCGAAAGCATCGAAAATAGATCGCGTGGGTACGGCTGTCTTTCCTCCTTTTGTCCCACCTCGCGCCGCCTCTTCTTTCACCGGAAAACTCATAATCCCAGCGGTCGGTCCGGCTTTCGAAAAAAATTTCCGCAAGACTCGCCTCTCCCCGTTTTTCTCTCCCTCCCTCTCTCCCACTCGTCGGGATTGGTATCTCGCGAGGAGATTGATGCACTCCCTGGTATCGCTATTCGATCTACGTAAATTAGGAAAGTGGCCGAGAACCTCTCACCCTTTCACAACGTTACGCGTTCTCAGCTTTTACCGCGTCGTGTCCGCACCGCCTACGTCGAAACGGGTCAATCCTATGGAGAACAAACGGCCACCAAAAAAACACCGTTCCGTCGTTAAAAGAAAAATAAAGGACGTGGAAACGCTCGTTACCTTTCTCCCTGTTCTTGGATGAAAACGAAATTACGCGAAGGAAATTATTTCTTGAGATATATATTTTATATATATATATCTCAAGATATCGAAAGAACCATGCAGCTAAAATTATATTTCCTTTTTTCAGAGTTTCCCAAAACGGATATATCGGCGAATAAAGTCTTCATCTCTCATCTCTCCTCGCTCTTAATTGGAATAAGAAATGCAAAGGAAATTACTATTTATTGATTGAACAAAACAAAGAAAGAAATAACGGTAGAGAAAACGTGCAAATAAAATCGTGAAAAGATTGAATGTCCTATTACTTTTTTTTTCCTTTTAATTCAGAATTTGTTGCATCGATATATCGACTCCGAGCGACGTTCCTTTTTTATCCATCCTCACTCTTAAATAAAGAGTGAATGTAAATAAAACCCGAGGGGCGGTTCACTCGGGAATCAGTGAAAACGATTTCCTTCTTTGATTTCAAGTGATAAACAGCATTATGATTCGGTATGAAGTTCGGCCCTTCGTGTAAGAGGAATTGTCGAAAAATCGTGATTTTTTATTTTTTTCAATTTCGCCGTTAATTGAGAGCTTATTTGAGCGTCGATCTAACGAGTGAGACATTCCTTTTAATGTGCTCACCAATCGAGATGCAACAATTTAAAGCGACCGCGCGAGTGGGATAAACTGTGGTTATTTACATACGCGAAAGCGAGAAAGAGGTAGGAGAGCACCAGCAAGCTTAGTGGCAAAAACTGGCCGATGCACTTAACCAAAATCTTGGCATGGACCAACCGGAGTGGCCCGTGCCAAGAATGCGCGACCTCTGAAACCGACGACCCCACCTCGAGGACCCTTCGAGATTTCCTGCGCGTCTGAGATGCCGTCGAGCAGGACGACCCGGTGCAAAAGGACAAGGATAGGTCGCCGTTCGCCCTTTAACCGAAACTTAACAAAAGTATGGAAAAAAAAAAAAAAACAGACCAAGTACACTGTTAAAAAAATTCATGCACTCTTAATACATAAAATTGCGTTAAATTATCAATTTGATGTCTTAACAGTGAATTAGTATAGATTTATTATGAAATTCTGAAAGAAAAAAAAGAAGCGTTTCCCATTTCGACCCGAGTCCCTTTCGTAACGTGCAAACATGTATGTACTAACTTGTAAGAAGTTTCTCTGGAAAAGTTTCATAAGAGTTTAAGGAACCCCGAAAATCGAGGCACTCGCGGAATTGCGGTCGGCTATTAGTTTTCGCTGACCCTCGATCGATCGACCCTAAAGGCATTATATACCCTGAAGAGCTTATGATCGAGTTAGTACTCCTTGGCGCACCTATGCTCGCCGACACGTAGAAGGCCAACAGGACTAAAGCACGACCCGCGGCCGGTAATTCGCGTAATCGGATCACCGAGGAAATTCTCCAAGATTAGCTATTTTCGGAAGTCGCACACGAAGTCCCGGATGTACCGCGGAGAGAAATCTGCATACAAGTGCCACGCTCGATTTCCCAATGACCTATTTATACGACGAGGTCTTCAGGAATCCCAAAAATGTCCCCAAGAATATTTTCGATCATAGATCATCGATTGTTCCACAAATTAAGGCGATACAAAATTGGCATTAAAAAAAAAAGTCCCGTTCGTGAAACCGCGAATTGGGTGTACCGACTCGTCTCACACTTAATCACGTGAATATGGAGTACCCCTGAAATTTCATTTTTTTTATTAATAAAAAAAACAAATGTTTAAAATGACTATGATCTCTTCGACTCGATTTTAGTGACGCCTTAAAAGAATAGAAAAAAAAAGAAACTCCTGAAGGTTCACGAGTCTATTCATCGCAACTAAACGAGCCGAAAATTAATTGATAATGCATTGTCCGGCACCGGCGGTCACTTCTTGTCACCTGAAGATTTTATATAAACGTGAAATCATTGCTAAAAAAAAATATTAAAAAATAAACGTTGCATTCATGAAACGATCAAGTAGATCCTGTGAGATCAGAAATCGGACGAATTGAAGAAATGAGTGTTTACATCTGACGCGGGACTATCTTTTTTTCGACCTAGATCCGAATAGGTGTGAATCGAGCGGGACGGAAGAAAACAATTTGCATAATGCACCCCTTCGCGCGCGGTTGCTCGAATGATGCCGCGGCGAGATGAAATTATGATAATGCGCCACTTAGGCCACCGGTAAAGGAGAATTCTTTCGCCAACATTGCGACGAGCCGGTACTCTGTTTGGCCGACCTGGCGAACGTTAATCCCGTCCATGTAAGGAGTACGAAGGTACGCGGGAAATTGAACGTGTTGGAAATTTCAAGTAATCCTAAGATAACTGTCAATGAGATTTCTTAGCAATTTTGAGGAATACTGAGATAACGTTCTCCTCGATGGTGAATGCAACGTCAGCTGTTTTCGAGGTGATGTGATCATTTTTATCGAGGTAAATGGCTGTTTACCGGTGCGGCAATTGACGGTCAATTGGTCAGCTGTTTTCACGAAACGGGTCTACTGTCAGCTTGTCGAAGGACAATTCTTGTAATTGGCAAGCAAGACTACGAGTAATGAAATGATATAAATAAAGCAATAGGATAATAAAATAATCTTTTGGGTATATCGAGTTAACGTCTTCTACGACACAAGGCGACCGTAAAACATCAGCTGTTTTCGCTATCAATACGACTCTTTGACCAAGGCAAATGTTTATTTACCGGTGTGGCAATTGACGGTCAATTGATCAGCTGTTTTCCCGAGCGAGTCTCGTGTTTCCAGTGCCTGCTCTAAGTAAGCTCTCGATATTTATTAAATGTCCTAATCGCTCGAGCACGTTGCTCATATTACGATAAGCAGTCGTCAATTATTAAATAGTAAATACTAGACAATCCCGACACCGATATCAGCAATTCAGCTACAAAATAATTATATAAACATTTTTTCTTCTTCTCGGTACTGCACAAATGCCTGCGTAAAAAGTGAACAAATATTCTTTACCGAGGAAACCCTGATTGGTAATTTAATTTTACCGTGAACATTATGTCAGTGGCATAATTCGGTAACGTAGGTACCTGTGGTATTTACCTGTTAATTAGAAGAAAACGGACTTTGGAATAAATATCGCAAGTCTCGCGCGATCGATTGGTGACGGGACGTATCTTATCGCGCGAGCATCTAATCGGGACTGATAAAATACTGTTGCAATTTCGATTTTTTTTTCCCTTTTCTTTTTTGTTTTTTAGACGATACCGAACTGCAGGAAGGTGAACGCGCGAAATCGCGGCGAAGGGACACGATCGCTCGAAACGAGTACTTTTACTTCCTACTTAGCTGGTAAAAGTCCTATGCATAAACATGAACGCCTCGTATTTCCTCGGATATTAGAAATGAGCATGATCTCATAATTATGCCGCGGATACTTCGAACCCCTCTTAGCAATTCGAATGAAGAAAATACATTTACAGAAATTAATTCACAGGAAGCCAGTTCTTTATCTACATTATGGAATTCCAATCGACTCGCTTCCGTAAGAGGATTCTGTGATAAGAAGAAACACGATGACTAAAACCCCAGATAGTTTTAAAACATCCATCGAATCGAGTTTTATAGGGGAAAAAAAAGAAGAAGAAAAAACAAAAAACCCGGATTTTTCCAGATTTTATTCAAGGTATTGTAATAAGACCGATTGTTTATAAAAACATTACTTTCTACATGCACTGAATATGGTAACATATCCCCGATGTCGCTGGATAAAAATTGCATAAATATTTGTTTTTTTTTTTTCAATGAAACAAAAAAAGAAACCTCATTGGATTAAAGTGAGTTGGGGAAGATTATAACCGGGTTAAATAGAAAAGAAGTATATTCTTACCTTGAAGACTTCGGAGAAGAATCCGGCGCCGATTTTTTCCAGATAGAAATCGTCTAGGCGATTGAGAGACGCCACGGCGTGCCTTAAAGCTTGGCAGGAAGCACCGGTTCTTCTTTTCGATCCTGTGTCCTGGCCAGGATCCGGAGGGCAGACATTTAATCCCACCAGATTTCCTTCGAGCTCCGTAGGCCTCCACGGATCCCTGCACTTCTCCCTGTCTTTGTAGCTTCTCGGTGAGCTTTGCAGCTCGGTAGGCATGTCCTGGGCCAAGAACGAGGAAGAGCTGCGTTCCACTTTAGCACTCTTCGTCTTGGAAGGCGTCGACGTGAAGTCACTAGAGGTACCAGAAAAGTTCCTTTCGGAGCAGGAGGTGGCTGGACACGAAGCACTGGAGACTCCGGACTCCTTTCCACAGGTCACAGGTAACCTGGACTTCGAATTCCTGCAAGGATCCATCAAGGATTCTTGCACGGGTTCTGAAATAGCGGCGGAATCGCCGGATGATATGATAGATTCATTGGTGTCCACGCAGTCTCTTGATGACTCCTTGTTGACCGAAGTGATCGGAAGATTGTCATTTGACTTTGCGGAAGCCAGCTTGGAGAACGTCGAGGCGCACTTCCCCTGATTCCTACTAGCTACTTTATTGCTTCTCTGTTCGCTGCTCGTTAGAAACTCTCCGTTGGGGGGCGACGACTTTTTGGTGGACTTCAAGGAACGCTCGCTAACTGGCGCAGTGTTTGGGATGCTCGAGCTGGAGGACATTGGATTTTTAGGGGACCTGGAAGCGCGATTCGGGGAACCTGTTGACTTTGACACAGAGATACCGGGATTGTTAGAGTTGGAGGAACATTTGTTATAGGCTGCACTCGCCGAGGAATTCCTTTCTACGGAGACATTTGACGATTCCTTGGAGGGACACTTGTTACTCGTAGAGTTCTTGAGGCACGCATTCGTTGCTTCAGTCCTGCAGGGTCTGAAGATCTCGGCTGACAACACAGACGGGGAATTGTGTGACTGCACGTTACAAGGGGCTTCCGAGACGATGGTTCCATTGTCCATCAACCTCCAAGACTTTGGCTTGTCCTCTGGACTCATTGACGCAACTTCCTCCACTGAAGAGAAACACGGGAGGCACGTCCCAGATGGTCTTGCATTTGTCTTCGACGCCAACACGTTCGTAGGAGGCCCTGGGGTATTTGACGGAGGTACTTTGCCAAACATATTTAATGTTATTGTAAAACTGCAACGTAGGGCAAGCTAGGACACTCCAAAAGCATACCCCACATCACATATACCATCCTCCACGATCTTCACATTACAAAACTAATGCTCTGCACTACCTGGAAAATATTAATCACGATACTACATTCTTCGAGCTACATCCTTTCTCTCTCTGCGATGTGTCTCGGATCTTGGCAGTGCGATCTCGATTTAAGATTTAAAATCACAGTCGCTATGTGCACGCTCCAGACAATTGACTGGAGGCAATGAGAGGATACCGCGACACTTTGCAAATAGAATTACATTACGATTTCACTCTCGGCAGTACACCCATGATGAGTGGCAGGAACTCTGGAACGGTTTGTGACTCCAAAGTAGAACTTGGCACATTTCTCATTCGCTAGTCGGTGTAAGCGTCAACTAGTAGCGGGGCTACTTCTAATGAACTTCCCTTGTTCGTTCTTCTACCTCGCCATAGAGAACATCTTAATTTCTTGAATAGCAGCTTCCTTGCGTATCACTCCGAAGTGCTTCCTTCCAGACTTCGACTGGTTGTGACTACGAACTCGACGAGTGGTGTTTTATCTCGAAAAGGAGAGGACTCCTTGAGAGGTTGGAGGCCCCGAGACGATTGGTGTTTTCGGGAAAGACGTCGAGGGAAACGCCGGGGCTCCTGTCAAAACAGCGACACAAGGAGCACATACCGTGCTGTCACTTTCACGCTGTCAGGCGCTCGAATTTCGCCCAGGCGAAATTAAATCTCTTTTCTCACCGAATCTTGTCGGAAGTGTCTCTCGTGTTTCCTCGCATCGTCGGTGGACCGACGCGAGTCTCGAGCGCCCGGTTGCCGCCGACAATTCGTGACTTTTTACCTCGACTTGTTTGAGTCGCTGCGTCGCGTAAACACGAGAAGGTCGCGCGACTTGGGTGCGGATTTTCAGCCACCAAAGACAGTACTTCCGCACGATGACGTCGCCTCGGGAGCAGAAACACTGCCAAGTCACTTTTAATCTTTATAAACGGCTCAGAGAACTGTTCTTTCGCGGTGGGAACGCGCTAGCGAGCTCGCGTCTCTCCGAGAAGCCGATTCACCGACAACACCAGACGGCGGCCATTACAGGAGTGAGCTCGCGACTCTGGAGCACTCCAACGCCGCGACGCGGCGGCTTCCGAACTAACGGCGCCACTGTACGACTCCCAGCGTAGCGCGAATATTGAATCTCCCTCCCTCCGTTACGAGAGAAAAAAAAACTGATACTCGAGTCAGAATTGTAAGAAAGAAAGCAATTAAGAAATAATCCCCATATTTTTTACTTCTCCTTAAAAACAATTATAATCAATTGTAGAATAAGAAATAGACATTTTTCTCGAACGCGACAATATTTTGGAATTAAGTGACGGGCTATCGGATTTGCAAAACTAATGATTCTTGATTGTAACTTTCCGGGTCTTTGATGCTTCTGCTTCAACGATTTATTCAGCAATATCGTGCGAATGGGAGTGGAGAAAATGTATCACTTTCCTAATTAATATGCAAACGAGAGTTCTTTCCCAGACTATAAGTTATGGGAATTTCTATCCCGCTCCTATTAGGAACTTGCCTATTCTTTTGTGAAATCGGAGCTTAAGTGAAATGAACATGCGAAAATCGCCCGTTTCCTGTGAGAGTGAAATAGGACGAGCATGTCTCGGCTACGATTAAACTACTGCTTCGTGGAATAACCCTTTCACCGATCGTTCTCACTAGCTCATGGTGGCGTCACCTTGTCAATGTTTACCGTAACTACGGAGGCCTACATTCATCATGCAGTGTTGTAAAAAAAATTTGTATAGTCACGTTATTACATGCGGATATAATAGTATAATTAATGTGCGATGCCATAATACAGTATTTACCCACAATATTTATATTATTATATACGCTCTAACATCTTCTGTGGACCAGCAAGGAAGCAAGTCAATCGATTGATTTATATTACATATTATTAATAATGTAGTAACAACTTCGATCGGACAGTAATACGGATTTCCTTACAGGTATAGTTATCATGATCGGTATAATAGACGGGTTAAGAAATTTGTACGACACAGGTATGACAAATCTCTAACCAACCGCTGATATAACGAGTTCTGCTACATCAGGATCTGTCGACCTTACCGTTAATTGCATGGTCACTTGGTTGTCCGATAAGGCTAATCTTGCACTGGCTAATACCTCCTTTCCATTTCTAAAAATCCCACTCATTAATAACGTATGTCTGACTGCTCCGGAAGGAACCCTGTCGCTGCGTTCCACAGCCTCCAGTCCGAGGAATCCAACTAGACTTTGCACCGCCTTCTCCAAGGATGTGACATTTGCTCCAAGAGCAAATGTCTCATCCAACTCGGAGAACCCTTGAGCCAGTGCAGCATCCCATTCGGCGGCGAAAGTAATTCCTTTAGCTCCTGGACCACGGATTTGATCTGCCGGGGAGATTTCCAAATCCTCCAACTAAATCGGAACACGTTAAATTAACAATTTATAAAAATAACGATAAAATATAGAATCATAAACATACCATATATTCATCGTGGTATCCCTGCTCGGCATCAGGAATTCCTGTCATTGGATCACAATCCCTTGCCATGAATCGGAGAGTAGTTGGAATGGTAACGACAGGAGTATGAATATCTTCTGGATATGTTAACACTATGTACGTAGTTCCTGGCTCGTTATAAGTCAGAGGCCGCGGACAGGGAATGACGCAGACCACAGTGTATCTGTTAAAAAAAAATCATAAACAATTTTAATAAATGTTAAGATTTTCTGACAAGATTCACTTAATTAAATGTATGAGTATTATGTTTGTAAAATTTAGTCTGAATATACACTTACCCATCTGGAGGTTCAACCGCTACCCTAACATCTTCGAGAAGCTGATCGGTAAGAGTGTTCTGACAATCGAATTGTAAGATGAGATGCTTAGAAAACGTATGTTTAATGCACTTGACATTATATTCTGTCTCAGGTTCCGTCAGTTCAACCACTGGTGACGATTTGAACAAGGGATATTCGCGAATAATGAATGCCAGTTGTGGGATTTGTGACAATTTCTCCATGAAGCTCTCTTCTCTGGTTAATCGTGGCTGTTGCTTGATGGAGTGTACTTCCGTTTGTGCTGGCTCTTCTATTACCTGAGCTGGAGGAATCTGTAAGACGTAAAAGATTAATAAAAATATAAAAGTGTGGAATAAATTTGATTTACCTGTGATATGTCGAAAGGATCCTCCATTGGCGTTCTGATGTAATTGTGTAACGATCTTTCCAGACTGGGAACTGAGATAAGTGGCGGTTGTATGAGAGGCAAAATCATTGGATCGACATCTTGCTGAAGAATCGCACAGTAATATGCAGCACGGTCTCGAACTTCATCATCCGAATCAAGTTGACATCGAGAAAGCAAAACTAATATGTTTGGAAGTAACGGAGGACAAGCTGCAGCAAAGTGTGCTAACGCAGTTACTGCTGCCGCACGGACGCTTGCACTTTCTAGGATAACTCGATTATAAATGAAACGAATGTAACGAGAAGGTTGTTTTGACGTTGGCCCTTCTTGTCCAAGCAAGTGCAATATGCGAACAGCAAGAGAAGTGTGTTCACAATCCTCGATAAATTCACAAAGATGAGCAAGGCCTGCTTCTTTAGCTTCTGCATTGCCCTCCATGACAGCTATGATGGTGTCAGCTATGGCTGCTTTGTATTCAAGACCACCCTCGTCTCTTAACATCGCAGAGAGAAAATTCATCAGAACAGAGTGCTTACGAGGGAATTTCTGACATAACGCCCTTTATAAAATACAAACACAATTAGTTAACAATCTTTAATAATGTATATATGTGCAAGAAATTAATTTAATAATGTATATATGGGCAACAAATAATGAAATAACATACCTAATAGCTTGAACAACAACCACCTTAAATTCGTCAGAAATCTCTGATACAAAAGTGGCAATCTGTTTCATCAGACGATCAACGGAGCTCTCTGCTCCTGTCTTAAGTAGCGTAGTAATAGCTAATGTGGCAATGGATCTGTTTGAATCTGTTATTAAATTCTCTAGATCTAAGTTGCAAGCAGTGACTGCAGCAGGATGAGACATAGCAACCTTGTTTAAGGTCCGAACAGCAGCGAATCTCAGCGCTGGCTTCGGTGAGCCACAAAATAGTTGCAAAACACTGATAGCTGGAGCAAGTTCTCTGGTGCTGCTCCTTCCCAAATTTACTAAGGCATGAGCTGCCTCATAGACTACCATCTCCGATTTATGACGCAAACAAGACTCCACAAATTCTAGAAGTTCTCTGCCACTTTCTTCTTCGTCCAATAATTTACAGGCCATCCTTATTAGCATACAAGTAGCATATGGACTTTTCAGACATGCTCGTGTCAACTTGGATACCAACTTAGTTACTGCATGTTTATCTGTTTTGCGAGCCTGATACAGCACACCGAGTGCGTGGTACTGTACCATAATATTATCAGAATACAAAGCTTCTTGTGCTTCATTAGCCCATCTTCTTGCCACATCCCCTGATACACTTGTTAAATGTAAGGAGGAAACCAACGCAGCGCTGGATACTGCTGGCGATTTATCGACAATAGCTTGTTTCATATAACGCTCAATAGTTGCAAGCATGGCATGATCTGTGATGGTACACAATGCTCTTATTGCAGCTGCTCGATACAAATCTTCTTTTCCAGTCATGTCTTTCGTCAAGCTGGATGTAACGATGATCACATCTTCAGCAACGGAACTAAGTTCCTTAATACCCAGATAAACGAGCCTGCGTAAAATGACATCACGGGACTGGAATAGTTTAGTCATAGCAAAAAATGCTTCCGTAGCTTCGGTAGTCCCAAGCTGTTCTCCTTGATTAATCAAGTACAAAATCTTAGTGAGAATGTGCGCACACTTTTTTGGATTAACCGGAGTGTCGTTGAACGTCCGTGCATCTTGCAGAACAGTGGTTTTTTCCAAATTTGGAAACGGATTCCCACCTCCTTAAAAGAAGAGTATTGATTAACAACAATTCGTAAGATTTAATAATATACCATCTATACGTGCAAACGAATTTTCAACATATGATGTTAAACTCGTAACCATGAGAGGTTATTTTTGCTATGCACACACAATTACTGCCACAATGATAAACTTTAAAATCGCATGTAAGATCACTCATACATCTCAAATATTTCTTCGTAAATAAACAAATGAGTGCCACAGAGGATAACTAAAAAACGAAATTAAGAACTGCAAATATCTGTCAAACAGCCAGTGTCACCCACGGTTATTTTACCGAATCAGTATTTCTTTAGATTATTCGTTTCAGAATTGAAATCAGACAATAATTACCATCTTCCTCTTCCTTTTTGTCTCGTTTAAATGTATTCATTTTATTTATTAATTATTTAAACTGAAAAATACCGCAGACACGTCACCTTACACATTGAGTAATGGATCCACAACGACTTGCAACGAGTCGCATAAAGGATATCAATAAAATCATGTTCTCAGAACTCTGTAGGCATAGAGCAAATTGAAGTTTCGACGGAAACCAGAGATGAGTTGGGAGATTGCTTACGGGCAGGATCGTGCGATCGCATCCTGTGCTGCCCTCTGGTTTCGTACGTTAGCTTTCACCGTTTTTTGCCCTCAAGGGCGGCGCTAGAGTTTGAAAATTCTCGGTAACATTAAATTGGAGAAGGTGACTGTGAAACATACCGTAAGTTACCGGGAACATTGAGAATTTAAGAGAACGTTAAGTTTGTTATTTATACTTTAGGTTTCTTCATTTAAATAACTTTTTTTTTTCAATCAATTTCAAAGTTCAAGCTAAAGAGTAATAATTACTATTAGAAAATATTGATTATAGGGTCGTATTTACCTCTAGCTAAAAATATTCACGTATGTACAACTTCACGGACAATTCCATGCGATTTGTTTCAAACGAACTGATATTTCATTCTGCGACGAAGTGAATGGGAGGTTTTGATTGGCTACGGAGAACGTACAACGGAAATTCCCCTCTACGATGTTTCTCTATAGCTAATCGAAACCTCTTGTTCGCTTTGTTGAAAAATTCAAATTCTCATAATTTCTCGATAAAAAAGGCTTTGGAGAAATTACCGATAAGTTACCGGGAATTTCTCTTCGTTTCTGACGTAACTTACTGAATTTAGAACTCTATCTGGGGGTCTATTGCGTAAAGCAAATTGAGCGAAAATGTGAAAAATGAGTAGCTCACGGTATTACGGACCTTTTTTGGTGGTGAAAATGCGAGACCATTCATATAAACTAGCTCGACACGAATTTTTAAGCGAAATAAACCCACATGAGATGACAGTGCGAGAAGTGACCGTGCTCGTCAAAAATACGTAATAAATGTCCTGCTTAAAACACACTCGTCCGTTTTCATGTGTTTCCAAGATGGCGCTGCACGAATAACGCGCAAGCCGTCCAAGTGCTCCACAGAAGGCAGCACAGGAACGCCATGACTCTACCTGTCGTGGCTCGTGAACAATCTCTCAACTTCTCTCTGCACGAACGGTAACTTTTGTAACTGGTTTACGCAGCCAATTTTTTTTTTATACAACAATCGAGTGAAGCGCGACGTTTCTGCCTGACACTCGAATCGATGTACCTTTGATTTGTCACTTCGCTCGAGCGTCGCGTCGCGTCTTTCCTAGCGAGAATGACATGTTCCTGGCGAGGGAGCCGCTCCAGAGGGCTGAGAAGCGTCGAAAGTGATCCTCGCGGGTAGCAGCCGGCTAAGAAATGGCAATTTCTAGCTGGATGATTTGGGGTAGGAGCCTCCGCACCACCAGACCTCAACGAAGTACGTAATCCTTGCGACTGAAATTTCGATTTTCGAATATCCCCAACCCTCGCTCATTTGTCTCATTTTGCAGGTCGACATAATAATGAAGACAATAGCGTGCATCTCGACCTGTCAAAAGGTTAGTAACCTAACCTAGATCGAACAACCCTTTGTAGTGGTCGAGGAATGAAGTTTCGATGCCTCATTGTCTATTTATTTTCAATGACCGTCAATTCGCAAGAAGGCCTAAACTATTCTACTCCCTATCGTTTCATTTCTTACCTTCGTTACTACCCTCGACATTCTGAGGTAGACTAGTAAGGGAATAAAATGTTTCGATGTACTCGATTATGTATTCTATATAATGTTCTATGTTACAGAATTGAAGGAAAATGTAAGGGAGGTGCTAACTAACCTTTGTCAACGACAGGGAGTTTCAAGCGTAAAGAAACTAGCTTATTTAAATGCTATGGTAAAACTTATAAGTGAAAATGATGCTCCTGACTATGGCTTCTGTACGGAGGATCTGTTTTGTTGGTAAGACTGCTTTACTATATTGCATGGATTCTGTAATAGTTACAACAGCTTTTACCATAGATTACATTAACTTTTTGTATCACGATGCGTTAAAGTGGTCTCAATTTTAGTTTGCGAGTCGGTCTGGTGCACGAAGCAACGCAAGTACGTGCGGCTGCTCTACGAGCGGTGCGATACATGCTCAAGAAAGAAGAGGATATCGTTGCCATTAACAAGCTGCAATATCCATACTTTGTGGCTCGCAGTATGGATGTTAATTTACGAAACGAAATGGAGAGGATGCAGGCCCTGCGGCTCGTCAGGCGAATTTTGGTTCTAGCTCCGAAGCACTTCAGCCCCGTCCTGGCAAGATCGCTCGTGAGCTTGACGAACGAAGGCATCGAAGAAAAGGATTGGGCATTTCGAGTGTTCCTGGCAACTCTCTGTGAACTGGGAGTTTTAAATTCAAGCTTGTTAATAAACTGTGGCGGCGTCAGTGCTTTAGCAAGAGCAGCAATGACCGGACAGAGTCCAGCCATCACCGAAGCAGTAGTCGGAGTAATGTTGAAACTATTAAATAATCCCGAAACTAGAAGCAGCGTCTCTCTATTATGTCTGGCAGCCCCGTACTGCGAGTTACATTCATCCGGACTAGAACGAAGGGACGAACGAGAACAAAGATTTGCAGCAAGTAAGCTGGCTCTGTTAAGCATTTTACGCTCGTTCTCAGGACTCCTGCACTTCTGTCATCCAAATGACACTTCGGGATTGAGAGCCATCGCAGATATTTTATATGTGGATCAATTGAATCTACGAGGAGCAGTTTTGGAGTTGTTGTACGAACTGCTGGGTTTGCCTCTGCCAATGTGGACCGACGAGCCAGACGTTGCCCTAGCCGCAGTTGATCCTTGTCGACAAAGGGAATCCTGGAAACTGTCGGAAGGATTTGTAGCAGCAGAGGGTAAATCTATACTACCAACCCTTTCGTCTCACAGATCCAACATCACCCAAGTGCACCAGGCATTACTAGTGTACGTGCTACTGGAATCCGGACTGCACAGAGCGCTGGCTGAGACCATCGTAACCGCCGACACGTTCATCTCCGTTCGTGCAGCGGTTCTCCTGGGAGCTTTGTTACACCTAGCGCACTCGCTACTTCCATCCGAAGTTTGCGACCTGACACCACCGTTGCCTAATCTTCTGGAACACGCTAGTGCAGGGAGGCATCAAGCTCTAGCGGCAGTCGCGATCCTAGGACGAATCCACGCCATGATGCGCCGAAGACCGACACCTGCGAGTCTGTTCCTGGACCGGATATTGCGGGCAGGATCATGGCTTCGGCCTATCGTACCTCGAAGACAGCGTCCGTCCAGTCGCCATTGGCTCCGTCGAGAGTCATCTACGACTCCTTTGCTGAAAGATGCCCAAGTGTTGAGCTCCAAGGATGCGCTAGCCTGGAATTGGCCCGTGGTGCGGTCCATCCTGCGCTCGAGAGAAGACGCTCTTAGAATATTGCACGACTCGGATCACAAATTATTTATTAAACGACTGGTCCGCTACTTCAAGCCTTCGTCGAATAGGTACAGTAGAGTGGAACTGAATATGAACGCGATGCTGGCGCGCGAGGCATCTCTAGCCGGTTGTGATTTAGTTAACTGTTTATTAGAACCAGACGAGCCGGAAGGCACGAGGCTGCTGAACGAGCTGGTCGGCGACATAGCCGACCAGATCACAGCCATTCGTACCGCCCAGTCGGCTCACGACTGCTTGTTCTCACCTCGTCACATGTCGACTACTTGCTGCCAAAAGTATTTCTTGTTCCTCGGCCAGCTAAGTCAATCGGCGAAGGGCACCAGAATCTTAAAGGGCTTCGACCTATTGGAGAAGCTCCAAGAGCTGGCGCTCGTCACCAACCACGACTGCTACGTCAAGCTGATTACGTCCAGCCTCGACTATACGAGTGATGGTCCCAATAGAAAATTACTAGGTAAAATAATAGCCGAAGCGCCCTTGGAGAGTACACGACTGTATGCAACCCAGTTCCTGCGATTGGTGCTCAGAGCTAGAATGACCGACGCTTATCAGTGGGCTATGATGCTGCTATCCGACAGACTGTCGGATACCAGTAGAGCGGTCGCTCTGGCCGCGTTGGAAGCGCTGCACGAGGCTTGCGAGGAGCCGAAATACCTGGAGACGTTCCTGCAACAAGGAAGTCACTATAGAAATTGGGACAGGTGGCTACAACCCTTGGGGGACCGAGGCTACCTACTGAAGGTTAGGCTGTACTCCCTCAGAGCTGCCTTCTCGACCTTGTCTTCGCCGTCGGAGGAGCTGGAGAAGTGGACCGGAGGCTACTCCGAGCAGTACGTCGGCCTGATGGAAGAGGAGATCCACGACTCGCTGACTCGCCGACAGAGGGGAGAAAACGGATCCTACCACAGAAGACTAAGCCAAGCGTTATCGACGCCTAGGGACGTCTTCGTAATGCCTCATTTGATCGGGCAAATGGTGCAACACGACGTGGGCATGCAGCTCCTGATACGTCGCAACGTGCTGCCGAGGTACGCCAGGACTATCCAGAGGTTCAGGATGGAGTTTGTGACGAAGGACTCGGAGTCGAATTCGAGGATCAATAAGAGCAGCCGTTTGGTCCTGGAAGACGCGTTTCTGATGTCGGAGGAGTCTGGGACCGATGAGACCGTTGAGTCGAGCAGGCTGGAGACGATCGTTGACTCCGAGATTATGGAGATGATCGATGCGAGGACCCCCAGGAAGGCGGAATCGCTTATGGAGATCAAGAGGAAGTCAAGCTTTGACGATTCCCGCAGGACCACGCCAGAAAGGAACTGGAGGAGCGAACCTGACTCTCAGGCTGAAGCCTTGTTGAGTCTTGAGGGAAGGATCCTCAGGGTGAAGGCTGCTCTTTGGGCTCTTGGCCATGCTGGAACTTCTACGGCTGGGGTCGAACAACTTAACCATCTGGGTCTTATCGAGTTGATAACCTCCGTTGCGGAAACTTGTCCTTACTACTCTATACGAGCCACTGCTATGTACGCCCTGAGTCTTGTCGCCACCACTCGCGCTGGCGCGGATGCATTGTTGGCGTACGATTGGCCATGTGTCAGATACAGAAGGGGCGATCAGTGGCCCGTTGTTGCTCCTAGTAATCTTTACCTCATCCCCAGTCCTGTTCCCATCCAAAGACACCATCGCAGCCTTAGCGATGGCAAGCCTGAATTGCCGGAGCCTATTGCTCGCAGGACGAGGAACCGATCGGAAAGCGCGGCCACGGAGCTCGAGGCCAGACGTTACGTGCTCTTGTAAGTTAATTTACACTAAACCTCAACGCTATAATGACGATTTATCCTCTACGTATCTATTAAGCCGGAAGTGAGCGAAAATTTGGGTTTAAGGACATGACTGAATGCATCATCAGACTCAAACATGATCTTGAGAATTTTCAAAATAGCGTAGCGTATAGCGGATGGCTCTGAATAATTTGGAAAAAAAAATTTACAGGCTCTACAAAACGGAACGTACTTTCATTATGCCAAACATGGGTCCATGATAAGTTCTCATATTTGAGAAATAAATATTTGTCTCAATGAAGTGCCGAGCTTTGGCGTTAAGTATTCGGTGCCGTTCGCGCATGCTTTTAAATGTACTTGTCGCGAAACTCTACCGAGTTTCTTGATTTTCCTGTTTTGCGAGCATCTTCCCTCGCCATTTCGGCTCGTTTTCTGGACATTTTCGCGGATCACTTTGGCCCGGATATTGCCGAGTTAATTTGTTAATTTTTGAACACGTTCAGGGTAGGAATTAATCGCTCTGTTTTTTTTCCCCCGTTTCCAGAGAAAGAGGAGAAACTCCGAGTCCCGTGTCGAGCATTCAGAGATTAAGTCAGCAGGATGCAGAGGGATACGCTCGGCTTCGCAATCTTCAACGTCATCGAAGGCCGAGTTATTCCCATAGTAGTCTGGAGGTGGGTCTGGTAGTAGGGTGGTTTTCTTTCAAACCGAACATACGTATAATGTCCTTGTCATTGCAGATGTACAGCTTAGATGGACGACTATCTCTGCAGAGTCTTTCAGAGCTGGAGTCTCCGAGGAGCTGGATCATGGAAAACATCCTGACTCCGATGCCCCCTCCTATAGAAAATGATGCCAATTCGTATTACATGGGAATCTCTCTTCCTAGGAAACTTACCGCTATTTTCCCGGATACACCTCGACCTCCAATTACGATTGGTGTCGATGATTTGTACAGACCTGGCGGTGATTCCACCGAGGCTGACGAAGAGTCTGGGTCGGAATGCGATGGGATTACGGAACACTGTCGAGTCTGCTTAGTTTGTAATCGGGGAAGAAATAGTAGTAGAGAAAATAGCGGAGAGGAGGCAGATTCTAAATTGAAAAGGTACGCCGCTTTACTTCGCCGCGTCCTGGAGTTAATATTAATAATAATGCTACTAATCGTCTCGTGTCTATTTATATTGCAGAGAAATCTTGAGGCATGCCTTGCGTTTAGCGAATCCAGTTTGGTACCGGAACAGTCGACAAGCATTGCTGAGGCTAAGGCAAAGGCATCCTGAGAAATTTCAGGTACTCAAAACTGCGTTTATAAATATTCTTATAATCGCTAGCGGGTATACTCACTCTTCCCTTTTTCAGGATGCTTGCATCTTCTCGGAAGTATCCGCTCGATTGGGTACTGGCACGTATAGGATGCCAGCGCGGCGTTTCCTGCAGGAATTGTTTCTGGATTCCCCATTTGATTCGGTAAGTGTCCGGCTATATCCCTAGCAGCAGAAATATTTGCCTTGATATAAAAAAGTCATTTCGTTTCATCAATTATTCTGTGCTACTAAGGTATTTCTTCAAGCTACTAAGCGAGACGTTTCTGGAGTAATTCGGATTAGTAACTTCTATAATTCTATTAATTTTGATAGCTTTATTCGGAGCCAATGGTGATTCTGAACGTGCCGGTCGGCACCGAGGAGAATCCTGCGCAGACAACTGTTCTTCCTTTACCAGTTGCGAGCCCTCCTGTACTTCCTAGTCCTATGGAAACTAAGATCAACGGTAGAGTCGTCGTCGGTCCCGATGGCCAAACACCGTTGTCGGTTGTCAAAGAAGAGGCCGGCCACGAGACACGCGTTGTCCAGTTAAGAGACAAGACCCAAGAAGTATTGAGGATACCGGAGCGACTTAGCGATGAGAAAATAATAGCCGAAATATTGAAGCCGGAGGAGAGGATACGAATATCAAAGAGTTCCGATAAGTTGTTGAAAGTAACAGGTACAAACACTGCCATCAGCCTTGAATAGTGCTCCTTAACTCTCAATCAGCTGTACATATTTTATATTAAAGTAATAATGCAGTTCGAAATAAAGTGGACACACACACATACACACACACACTGCCGGAATGATTCTGATTATCTCGCAAGGGTGACCGATGTGTTGCCCGTTTGTTCAACCGCGTGTTCGGGCTCGGTTTTTCATCATCCACAGGCGAGTACACTGTTAAGAGTAACAATAATTAACGACAAAGTATTTGTTGAATTCTGCGTTGTGATAGTAAAATAAAGGAACGAGAAGAGGAAGGGATTGTGTTCTGAATGTCAAAACTGAGTAGTGGAACTTTCCGCCGTTCACAGAAATATTTACTATGAAAACTAGGCCAAAATTACTTTTTCGTCTCAATGGCCTCTAAATATGATGGATTGATAATTTATATAATTCAAATAAAAATTCGTGCGCACCCTGTGATTAAAAAAACACTACTATTTACGCGTACTGTTTTTGCACGTTGTTCTTTACGCAGGGTTTACGCATATATGTATAAGTGCAATTTTTAACAATTGATTCATGACCGAGTTTTTATAGTAAATACTCCTAAGTGTCTTGATTATTTCCTAGTGATCTTATTTCTAAATTAAGGAATAAATTCACTTTTGCAATGAGTTAATAGATGCTTCGTATACTTCGACCCGTTGGGGAAGAATAATCAGGTTTTCTTCTTAGGTGATTTATTCACAAATAACGTAATAATAACTATGCGTTAATTGTTCAGAAGGGAAACGTTTTCAATTGATATGTTCGAAGGAAGTATTCCATTTACCGCATATTAGAGTTATAGATTACGGTACATTTGATGCTATACTAGATGAATAATAATCAGATTCTAAATTTTCTTTTCTTTTTGCAATAAGTTATTTTACGTTAACGACGCATCACCTCTGTTGCACGGTACTGGAAAATCTGTTTGTACGTTTCAGCGATGAGAAGGACATTGTTAGTCTTCGTAGGTCCGAACAAGACTGGCGCACTTCGGTAGTCTTAAACTTATTACAGCAAAATATCACAAACGTTAAACATTTTAACACCACGCAGGACTATAAAATGTATCCTTAGAAGTAACTCATAGAAAAGTATACATTGCATAAAATCGTGCATATGTAAATCCTGATAACTGGTCTAACTCGCTCTAACTTAAAGCAAACCTATTCTTGAACTGTACTCCATGGTGTGTGATTTAACGATTCAACACTTATCCCTGGCATCGATCTTGCCAGTGTCTCTAGAATTATTTACAAAAGTCTACTCGCTAGTCTATCACATTAATACTGGTGGACATGCTCTACGTGCATTCCGTCAAATAAGAAAAATGAAACGAACAATTCTACATTAGTTTGACATTAGCGCGTGTCATATCCATACGCACATTTAACTCTAAGTCGCGCGGAAGGAAAGTTAACGATTAGTAGCTACAATTTCCCCGATTAGCTCATACTGTCTTTTATAATTTCGTAACTGATATATCGCGTCTTCTGAAGCCTAACGAGCCTATTATTCCGTCTCGTTGATTAGAAAAATTGTTATCAAGTATGAATTACAAATGTTTCCGCACGAGAGGAAAGCCTGTTAAGGTGATGTGAAAGTGACGAAGAAGTCACGTTTACGAATTTTTTCTCCGAATCGGGTGTACAGAATCGTTTCAGACTTTACAACGTGAATGTGGAGGCTTTAAGGAAGGTCCTGACACTCATGAAATTTCCATATATATTTTTTTTTAATTTTTCACAAACTACGAAATTTCATGGGCGTCGAGATCTCTACAATCTCCATATTCACGTGATAAAGTTTGAGACGATTCGGTAGATCCAGTTGAAAGAAAAGTTTTATGAACAACTGATCCCTCGGATGCCACTTTGACATCCCCTTAAGCCAGGAAAAGAGGTACACGCTGAAGCAGACCCGGCCAAAAAACGAATTTGCGTTGTTAACAGGTATCTTAACAATCGATATGCTGAACATCGTTTAACTCTTTGGCTTGGAATTCATTTAAGGCCTCTTTTGATCCAGGAAAACCCTTTCCAGCTCGTTTCGTGGTCTGCTTCGCCGCGTCTCTTTAACCCTGACGAGCGAAACGGTGACCACCTAAGTACCACTGGAACATAAAGCTATGTATGTACATATTATACAACCACGGTACAAGATAAATGTCGTCCATAGAAAGGACCAGACAGGGTCATCGGCGATTTCGCACCGCGATTGGACAACGAGAAGGTCGTTGCGACATGGAAAGCCTGCAGTTTCTTCAAGCTCCCAGTTTAGGAAGGGGCCCGATCGTGGCTCATCCGTTCTCGATCGGTCCTAAATCTATAAATCGACATCGATCAAGATGTCCCCCAAAGTTCGTCAGCAGTTGTCCACGAAAGAAGCGCTGGAACCACTCGCGATCTCGGCGTACTCTTGCCTGCCAGCTGAGCAGAGCTTGCTCGAAAAATCGGTCTCCCTTTTCCTGAAAGTGTCATTAAACATGTACATAAGTAGATGAACTTAGTACGCAGCTAGGTATTGTCTCATTTTAAGGCCCTATTAACCGTGAGTCGGCCATCTTGAATTATATCAGAGGCAGGGCAATGAAATTCCCCTCCAGTATTCTTCCAGACTATTAATTTTTTCTAGTTATTCGTACAAAAATAATCAGCGGAAGTGTAAAATTTGTCGGCCAGTCCGTGTTTGTAATGACATTGCGTCTATCTTGCGATCATTGCCCGGAATCGTCACTTTCCTTGGCTGATCGATTTTCAGAAAGAGATACCTCATTTCCTAGTGCACGATCCGTCGAAAACGGATTGAATAAAAAATTCAATTTTAATTTAATGAATTGAAATGTACTAAAATAGAAATTGGATTTGAAACGACATTTATTTATCCTGGACGAGAAGCATAAAATTTCTTCTTTTTTTTTCCCCGAAAAATGAATCTTTTCGTGAGTTTCAAGACCTCGATAAGGACCTCCGCAATCACGCGTTGAAATTGCAGGTTATTAGGTGCACCCAGTTTGGAAAAAAAATGTTATAAATATTTGTTACGTTCTGATGTATAAAGAATAACCTTTCATAGCATTTTAAAAGCTGTACGCGTAATGAATTGTTAATTCTTTTACCCTCTTCCAGGCAGCTCCATGATGTCGACGACGACGCTGTTCACGTAGAGGCGGTCGTTACACCAGAAGAAACAAAGCGACCTCGGCTGCAAGACGTCCATGTCGTATGCCCAGGACAATTCTACACGTCTTATCTTTCCGATATCACTTCCAGCTCCACCAGGATGAGCCACGACCATTCGCGCGGTCGTGCCGTGTTCCAATTTCATGTACCCGCTGTAAAAAGAAAAAAATTAAGTATCACTCTATTGTTCATTAATCATCGAATTTCTTCTACAGTGAAACCGATGCTACTTAGGAGTGAGGTCCATGTTGCGGATGACGCCATTATCTGCGTACAGAGTCACCTTCATGAACCCCTGGACCCAGCTTTCAGCAGTCGGAGGTCGTGCGAGATCAATCGTTATCCTGTAGTGCATTCCTGAAATGACATGAAAGGATCAATCTACTGAAAAATCATCCTGTACTTGTAAAGCACGCTTCAATGTACCAGAGTCCACTGTTAAGGTCTATTTATATTATCAGACACGACGTGGAAACTTAACGTTAACGTTCCGACGAAAGCAGAAATTATATTCATACCGTCAGTTTAGTTCAGATTCTGAGTTTAAACTCGAATTATTGACATCACAGAATATACTAGCAATGATGGACACGCTATGTATATGAACGGATTCGATCCGACATTAAAGTAATTATAAGTACTTCTGTTAGAAATGTGTATAAAAGATGGTATATTGCAAATGTTCATGCCTCACTTTTAGCGATAAAATACGTCCTTTGTAATTTTTAAATGGCTGAGAAATGTCATTTCGGTTGGAAAATATAAGATATGTGAACGAGTCCTTAAAGGGATGGCCGGAATAACCAGTATACATGGACCTTAACAGTGAACGTGATCAGAAAAATTAATAAGAAATGCGGGTTCTCTTACTGCAGTAGGGATCTTCTTTCCCGGTCGAGAAGAAGAACTTGGAGCCTAGCAAGGAGGACACATCCTGGCCCATAGCTTGGCGCCTCAATAATGCAGGACTGCTGTCTGCATGGTATCCCATGACTCCGCAACTCAGGCTGCTATTGCTTTTGCAAGAGAAGCACTCTCCTCGTAAAAAACTGGCGTAATTCGGACACTCGTGGGCCACGTACTGGCACTTAGAATTGATGCTCTCGATGAAGAGTTTAATGGCGCGCACGTGGTTGCAGGCTACGAGGACGCGTGAGGCCTCTTCGAGTCCTTCTTTTATCAGGGTAAGGGGTAGAGATGGCGTCGTTTCGCTCAGGTCGGTGCATCCTGGCTGTTCCTTGCCATTGTTAGGGTAGAAGTCCAGGTGCCCGCAAGGCTGGCTCATCCCGTACCCTGGAAATCCTTATCGTGCGATTAATCATCCTCAATATGTGCTAACTCTCGTGACATTGTTTATTATTTCCAGGTTTCGTGTGCTGGGCTCGAGGTCGGAACGTTTCGAGACGAGGGGTTGTTCGTTAAGGAAATCATGGTTTTTAATAATGAATATCACGCGGAAATCAACTGGGAATCGTTAGAAATCACCGAAACGTTGTCACAATTTCGAAGGCGACATTAAAGCGTCATTCTGTATGTCAAAATATTTATAAAAGTATTCTTCAAATTGGGCGCACCGAATAATTTGAAACTCTACCGTGTGATTACGGAGGTCCCAATGAAGGCGTTGAAACTCACGAAATTTTATTTTCCGAAGAAAAAAAAAGAAAAAAAAAATGTCTTTTTTGGTTCATGACTGAGATGAAACAAGAGGGAATAGCCCCTCGCTCAAAGACGATTTCTCAAGCTGTTAATCGGCATACCTAGGAAGAAGATGCTTTTCCCATCGGTGTGGATGACATCGACAAGCTGGGCATCCGTGTAGTCTAAACGCAAGTGGCTGGGCATCCCTTGGAAATAGGGCTCCGCAGGATCCAGACCTGTGATCCTGCCGATTTTCCCCTCCAACTTCTCCCCTGCGTATCCTGCCGTGTGAGCACCCAAACTGTGCCCGATCAGGTGCACGTCGCCAGTATCTAGTCCATAGTTGTTCTGTTAAAAGAGAAAAGTAATAACGTGAATTTCTTACCCTGAGAAAAAATAAAAATGCCATTGGACCAGAAAAATGTTTCTTTGAACAGTATCAAAGAAATATTTTATTAATTCAAAGACCGATTATTTGAATAATACGCGACGTAAAGGAGCCATTGCACGGTCCTTTTGACAGATCAACCATGGTATACTACAAAAGGGAGTCACATTTAATAACCAACCAATAACGCTTTTGATATATTACAATATAGCAATATAAAGTGCAGAATGTGTGTTTGTATGTGTATATTACATGATGCAAAAAAGGCGATGTATATTCAGAGATCATATTGTTGACACATTCTGCACTTTATATTGCTATATTGTAATATATCAAAAGCGTTATCGGTTGGTTATTAAATGTGACTATATACATATATTTCCAACAGCGTTGAAGGAGCATGGGATTTTAAAACCGATCCTCTGGTGTTTCGTAATTATTACTACGTGCCAAAATCTCCTTTGACCATTTCTGGCCAGGTAAACTCTCTCTTGGCATTGCAGAATTACACAACGCGATGCAACAGTGGGCGAATTGTTTCGAGTCGCGAAAGGCTGGGCCGAAACTTTTTCCAAGGTGGTTGCTCAAGAAAAATCGTGCCGACACTCGACGACGGTCACGTTGGACATTTAATGTATTCCTAGGACAGGTACCATTCTAGATTATGGGAAATTACCGAAGGCTTAATCAATGTCAAATCGAGGTTTCGTAATCTCGAAATAATTAGTGGGTTACAGGTGTTGTCAAGAGCACGAACCTGAAGATGGGTTATCAGATGAGCTATCTCTAGTCCTACAAGTCTGGTGTTGGCTGTCGCCTGGGTATAAAGAGGAAGACTGCCACCAGCCCAGTCCACAACAATTACGTTGTAATCATCGTGTTTCAGCAACTCGTTCCTCATTTCCTGGACGATAAAGAGAAGCAGAAGAATATCTTTTTAACGTTGTTCTGTGTATTCGAGTTTCCAATTTTCGCATCCCAGCGTCATTGAATTATATGTATATAGAATCAACGCTGTTAATCAACCACGAATAAGCGGAAAAAGGATAGTTTGAAAGTTGTAAAATGCGGTGATAAGAGGGAAAGACATTCGGTGGGCAGAAAGAGCATTTTCTCCGGATTCATACGATATGGTTCCCTTGATAAGCACCTACGTAAATCCAGCTCGCTACAGAATCGCGGATTTAAGCCGGTGGTTTTTCTTGCCACTTTTTGCCCACCCTCGCAGCTGTGAAAGTAGGCGAAACTAAATACTTAGTGTAATATCAAAACCGACGTCTCACCTTAACCCAGTTGCTGAGCGGCGTGTCTATAAAACCATGTATGATAAACTTAGTTTTGCGCTTCGGATCGAAGTTCGAGCGCTTAATGGACTTATCCTTAGCTACTATCAAGACCTGACCCTGTAAAAGAGACCAAGACGATTAACATTAAATATTAGTCCTCGTTACATAAATTATTAACCCACTAGATGTATGTGACCAGATTGTAAAATCTTCACTTAGCTTTATTTTACAGCTCGGCTAAATATTTTATAAAGCGACTAGGCGTGTCAAGCTTATTGAATTACCTAATAAAATTACTGAAATGATTTAGCCGCAATGGTAAACAGGCGGTAATTTAACTGGTCGTCTTATAAGACGCTTAGTTTCTTTATGAAATTACTAGCCGGATTGTAAAATGAAACTGTGTGAACGAAGATTTGACCGTCCGGCGGGGTTTTATGAGAAACTAAATTTTACAATGTGGCCACGACGTATGCAAAATGTGTCTGAATTTCTCGGGAAAGCGGGAAAAGAGATATTTCCCATGTAACCTGATTTCTCGTAAAACTACTTTGCATACAGAGTAAGAGGAAATATTCAGGAGAGGATTGTTACTGATTCATCCGGCATGTCGGTGCGCAAGAGGTGCTCGAAGAGTAATCGAAATTTCTCCGAGCTCATTACGCTCTTTTACGCCCGTGAAATGGAAATGTTAAGAGATTTGAATTTCTCCGGCCGAGAGAGGACTAAAGGCATCTATAGGTTCCAATTCCGAGCTGTAAATCGAGCCCAAATCGAGATCTCGGATAACACCGACCTGCTCTTAAGATGCATTAAGATAAAGGCACTCTCTGTTAGCTCTCTTGTAATCCGTTCGTATCTTCTTCGCCAATTAGTTCCCCTCTCGTGGCGAGGGAATTAGTGAATAATATATGAACTGTGAATCGGCTTCCGTGTTACGCGACCCTGAGGAAAGCCTTACTTCGGTGGGGTTGTTCTCTGTGTAGAGGATGAACCTCGTATTGATGACCTCGCGAGGAAGTGGAAAGACATTTAGTGGTCGATGGATTAGATGATACCAATTTCTGGTGATGTTCAGGCAGCCCAGCTCGTCGTAACACCTGGTCTCGTTTTCGACTGCGAATTTAATCAATTTTTAAGTGTCAAAAGTGTATAAATGTGTGAAAAACTTGAAATGTACACTGGTGTACACATGAATGGGGTCTGATCATTCTCTGACAACATCACGTATGCAGACAAGATATAGGGTATAAAATGTAGGAACCCAGAAAAGAATTGCATAAAACATTAGCAAAGGACAGCATTGCTGATCAAGTTTTGCTCTTACTGCAATAATAATTGTTCTATCAACAAAAATATTTGGAACTGCATGAAACGGAGATGTAGCTACGGACGAGCTTCAGAAAAATTACTTGACAAATTAACGAATAATTTTGTAGAAACGGTAAAAATGATTATTACTCTCTATAGTTTGTTGTCGTTGGTAAAGAATATCGCAACCATGAATATAACTGTTTGTTATCCATGCAGCTACAACGTCTCTGCAAAAATAATTCGCTGAGCCATTTTCAGACGTTCCAGATTTATTGAACAATTTGTTATCACGACTGTGGATTATGTTTCTGCGTGCATAGAGGATAAAAAATTGTAATATTTACAGGGTAACCAGGGAATGTTGACCTCGATGCGATCACTTCGTGCCCACTGCCAAGGATCCAGGATTCCGGCAGAGCAGAGAGCTGGTATCAGTGCAAGGAACAGCAAGAGAGCTCCTTCACCCTCGGTGACCCCCTGCTTTTTAATGCCACCCCTCCCCATCCTGGAATAAAAAAATAATCCTTTTAATATAAACCTAGATAAAGATTAGGTTTCCTGTATCTCCGGACGACTGCAATCGTGAATAAACGGTACCAGTGAATTTTATGAGTAGAATGAAATGACACAACTGCGACCTTAGAACAGGTGAGAGATTTAGAGATTTTGGAAATCCTCAGCCATCGTGAAATTGCGAAGCTGATGATCCACGTGGGAGATAACCGAATGCTCGTTCTACGAGTCCATAAATTCTATCTGGTGAGAGAGACTCTCTCAAGGTGAAGTGCTCATCGCTCATTACGAAATTTGTTTGGAGAAAAAGAGGCGTTCCTCCTACATCTGAACATTCCACGTTTCTAACAGTAGAAGCTACGATTTTCTCTGATTTTTATCATCGCATCGGATGCATTTTAAAGCGTAGCTTACTGATCTTAAGATGCAGTTTGGAGCATTCGATGCAAAATGCGTTTCTCTTTCCTGTCGGTATGGAGTCGTGAGTTAGCTCCTCCATGTTTATGTATAACGTGGTTTAGCGTTATAGGTAAATCTTATTTGTGCAAGCAAGTGCACACCAAACTGGTTGTAGGTGAAAACGTCTGCTCGTCTATGGGCAACGGAAAGCGCTACTAGATTCAAGAATAAATTCCCGGCCGAAAGGAATTCCAGGAATCTTAAAGACGCGAAAATAATTGGAGACTTCAATGCTGGCACAAGGTAGAAACTAAAAATGAAAACAAGCGGGATAGCCCCTTCTCCTCATTTTTCTCCGCTTTATCTCACGTCAATAGTAATGATATCATTAATAAATTAATAACATTAAGAGATATTCATCTTCAAAGTGAACTACCAAGGATTTGCATATTTTCAATACATACATTACATACATTCTAAGAGCAACTGCGTTTCACCAAGCCTGGAGCCTAATGTCAATGTTTCGGAATATTTAACTCTGAGAGGTAAATAGGCAACATTAACTTCGACATGACATTTAGCATATTAATGGATCCTCCTTTCAATTACAGATATTTCGCTACATCTTCCTCTACCTCTTCGATGGCGGTCTTGCGAAAGGAGGAATTTAACCGGAGGCTGGTTAAAGGTTCCACAATGTACGATGACAATGACTGGTCATGATAATTCTTTCGGAAGAGCATTTGCATAATTCGACGATTCCTATACATCCAGCACAGAGCAATGCTTGAGGGTAATGATCCTGCGTCATCGCCATTTTTCGGTCATTGCAAAGCGTCATACGAACTTTGTATTACTGTACGAGGAAGTAGACGTTTCCGCGTTCCTTAAATGTCAATTGCGCAATCGCCTCACGTAATTCGAGGGTATTACGGAAGAATTGTAACGTTATTTTCTCTACGATACTTTCTTATCCTAGTGAACGACGGCCAAGTGATTCCGGCGATTTTCCTTGACGATATCGCGGCTCGGTAATCGAGATAATCGAGCGGCGGAGCACACGATACATTAAACTTTTATATTCAGATACGTGATAAAAAAATTAAAAATGGGGTCGATATGTCTCATGTGTGGGGCAATTCTCCGAAGGTTCTGCGTTTCTCGTGGCATCCCCGTATTTTACATTGCATAACATTCGAGTTACGTCAAACGAGTCAACGTGCTTGGCTTACATTCGAATTATGTCACGCGTGTACATCGGGCGCGTTTGTGGATCAAGATGCCCATCGATAGTTCTGTAATTATTACATTGATATTAACACAAGAATTTGGTTGATACGAAAATATATTGATCGCTACAATCGATGTAGATTTACGTGGGCATTTTTATCAACGTGAAGTCAGCAGGTTTGTCGATCTTACTCGGTTTCCTGGAACTGATCCGTTAAATTTACGGCTAATTAATTCTGCAACTGGTATGTCGGGAACGGTAAGGTTCGAGTTTATAAAACTGAGGATCGATCGCAGAGGCCGATTAGGCAAACTGACGGGATTTCTTGTCGAGGCCGACGATTTCGCGCCTTCGCCGATCGGCACTTGGCAAGTCGCGGCGAGAAGTCGATCAAGGGAAAGAAGCTTGACTTGGTTGCCTAGATGGTCACGGTCAAGGAGGTGGATCGAGGCTGAGTTTTTCGGATTTCAAGTTACGCGAGCGATTGCCATCGATCAAGGACTCGAGCCTCTAATCCAGGCCAGTCGGCAAAAATCGGCGATCGCGAGGCGCGACAGGTGAATCGTGACGACCGCGACAGGTGATCGATCGGTCATGACCTCGATTACACACGACAAATCGACTCGCGACCAGTAAGAAAGGGTGTCGCAATTAGGACGAGCCATTCGAGGGCTCGAATTGTTCTCTACGATCAGCTGTCGCCAACAGACACGGATCGACAAATATCGTTCTCGCCAGCCAGCTTTAAAGTGATACGAAAGTGGCGTTCAAAAGGGCTGTTGTTAATGAGACTCTTCACAGAACCGTGTACCGAGAGGTTTGACATTTTAAAACGTCGGTACGGAGGCTTTAACAAGACTCCTGACATATTACGAAATGTAATTCTTCATAAGAAATTTCTAAACGTTTATGAATATATTATTAAAATATGAATTTCATGAGTGAGGAGACATTCCTTAGTGCTTCCGTATTCATGTGGTACGATTTCAAACCATTCGATGCACCCAGTTCAGAGAAAAGTTCAGAAACGAGGCTTCTGACGCCATTTATACCATCTTAAGGCCTTTACAGATACTTCACGTAACAGTAAGCCTGAAAGTAGAAACCGGCCAATCAAGTTGCATAAAATTCGGCAATTTAATCGGAGATTCTTTGTTATGCTTATATGGTCGCTCTTATGTGAAGTATCTGTGAAAGCCCTTACACTCTCGCTGCAGTTAAATTACCCCCATGTCGCACTCGTGATAGCATGTATCGATCGCTCCAAAAAGGCGAACTCTGTTACAGCTCCCGGGGAACCGGCAACCTTCCGTTTGGTTCCACATTCCTCGGGTGTAGCTGCACTTCATCTCCCCCGAGAAAAGGAGGAAAACGTCCACTCGCACCCCGAGGGGCCCCGACGAAAGGAAGTGCCTGCCCTACTTCCGCCTCCTCTCCTTGCGTTCTCCTAAGTAAAGGTGATTGCACTCCAACCGAACTCGAGAGTGCCAGGCTCGGATCGATTGTACTCCCGCGACGGTTAAAAATCTGACAAGGTATTTTTCCCGCAGAAGAATACCAGATCCCCATTTTCGTCACGCTGCGAGAACTCCCATTCGATATAAAAATATCCCAGGAAAAAATCCCGAGCAAATTCCTACCACCTCTTAAATTCGCCATCTTCGAAAGTGTCTCGCCTATAGTCTCCCGCAGGCATTGAAGTCTCCGAGGATCTTGCGGCCCAAGCGATCTTTTTCACCGCATAAGAATATTTTCTGGACTCCGTAATATTCCCTGATAATTACCACCGTCCCCATGAAGCCTCTGAGAAAGTGAATTGAATATTCCCATGTTTTAAAATGGTTAAAAACGCGAGATTTTATGAAAAGATCGCGATGACGCCTTGAGCGAGCCCCATGGCGAGACGCGGGATCGGTGAAATTCGTGAAAAAATGGAAAAAAAATCGTGATCTGGGTTTTAATCCTGGGTTTTAAGCCAAGTTTAGTAAAAGAGATTCTGGATAGAAGGTCTGTAATTATTTGTATAAAATTTGATCTCGGCCGCGGAATGTATGAGCGTGGTAAGGCCTCTCGAGTCTCGAGACGAAAGCGGTCCTGCGAGGAGGCCGAAAGAGGACAGGCTCGTTGGGAACAGCATTTCACCTTGCATTCTCGACGCCCTGGATAGCGCTACGTCGCCGGTATTAAATAATTATTATTTCGAAAGCGAGAATGTATACGGCGCCAGGCATGTGCGGCGTCCGAGGCGGTTGTGGCCCAGATTCGGCGTCCTTCCCCCCGGCAATATTGAACCGCTTCCTGCACCTCCCCGGGTACTGGTATACGAAAAATTCACTCCAAAACAAGCCATGCAGGATCTCCAGACCTCCACCATAACCCCATAAGAATTCTCAAGAAATTCTACACATACTTAAGTAATGAATTTGTAATTTTTGCAATGAATATAATCTCCCCGAGTACTACCACACAAATAAAATTCACTCCGAAACAAGCCATGCCGAATCTTCACCCCCGTCATAACTCTATACATAAATCCCCGAAATCTTCTGCACATAAAAATTACACCGACAATTAATCCGCAACTTTTTAATTTAATATGCAAATTACGAGTTGTCGCGACTGACTTTTTCGTATATAAAACTCGTAACTGTAAAAACCTCGGTTCCATGCGTGGCCGATAAATCTTGATTAATATTTCCTCCGTCAACTTTTAATGAAAAAAAAAAAAAAAAAAGGAAAAGCGCCGCGGCCTTTCCGTTCCTTAATATGGACAGAGAAATCCATGCGTAGGTAATAATCTCGCACCTTAGGTGTGAGCACGGCTGATGAACTTTAATTAATTTTCTTTCCCCGGGTTTTGAGCTTTGGTAAAAAATCTTACGTATGCCTACGAGTATAGAAACACGTTTGGAGTCGTGTATGCTTACTAACATGTTAGATGTGAGCATGAGACCGAATACACGCGCGAAGAAAGTCGCTCGAATGGATCAAGGGGAAAGTGTCCGAGGCGATAGGGTAAAATGTAAAACGATCGGGCATACGTGACGGCAGATCGTCGGTTGTTTCTCAAGCATTGGAGTTTGAATCTACCAACTCCAACAAAATGATTAATCCTAAACAAAGGGCAGGAGCGAATCCAGAATTCACTCTGGAAGTCTCCGAAGCGGATGTTGCATTTAGGCGCGACTAATCGTTGCGGAAGAGCCTCATATGCGTGAAAAATGTCCGCGGAAGCGAGGGAAATAATTGTTTCCGGTCGCATGTGTACTTTCATGCCTTGACACCGAATCAATGTTGCGATTAGAAGAGCTTTTCAATTTTCATGATTTCATTCGATGTCCTTTTTTCAGCCTCGTTGGAGG